TTCCGTGAGATCTTTAATTAGTTTAAGGATAATTTAGATTTAGCCTACTTACATCTAACTAAAATTATACCTGAATCTATTTAGATCTTTATTTATTTTACTCAACTGTAGTTGGAGTTAAAAAGTCCTCGCTCACATATCAACAAAGATTATTTAATTGCTGTTATAAGCAAGTATGCACTCTCGGAAATATAATTCTCACTTTTGACGATTCAGCAATCCTTGAGAAGTATTTCGTTAATTTTATGAATCATTTCGTCACGAAATCATGCGATTTATGACTAAACGCGAACTCTAAAAAATGTGATCATCTTTCCTCAACACGAAATCTCATCGTAGTGCATTGTTTGAGATTGTTAATTAGAATGAAACTAGAATAAAAACTGGACAATCGAAAATAAAGTGATGAATTAAGCCTACCGGCTACTGTGGTGGTCAAAGAGTTAGCCTTGTAGTAGGAAGATCCGGTGTTCGAACCTTGTTTTAGGCATGGGCGTGATTTATATCTCTGTTCTATATGTCTTTGTTGTGTAGTTACTCACGTTTAAGTGATTATTAAAAAAGTTAGATATATTAGGTTAGGTTTCATTATTATTATTATTGTTAATATTATTATTATTGAAAAAAAGTAGAACGACGAAATATTTGTTTATTTCGACGAAATTCGTTTCCTCGAAGAAGTGGCGGTAGTTATTTCCTCACTTTGACGAAATATTCGCTTGGAGCATATGCAAGGAACGGTTTCGTCAAAAACTGAGAAAGTTTCGTGAGGTACATTTTTTACACGGTTCTCGTCTAATTAAATTAATTGCAAAATTTCTCGTTTAAGTAATCTTGATGATTGAATATTAATCATGACGAAGTCTGTATCAGTAATTAATTGTATTAGCTGCCGGAATTTTCGAGAATATTAATAATAACGAAATTAATATCAGTAATTAATTATAAATCCATCGTCTGAAAATCAGTATCAATAATTAATTGCGAATCCAAAAAAACGTGTTTATTTAGAAGTACTCCGTTTGAGTTGGAATATTCAGATTCTCATATCAGCAGCGTGAGACTTATTATAATTTAAGACTTATTATAATAATTTGAGACTTATTATACATTATTTTTAAAACAATTTTTTGAATCTTTGTCAAAAATTAAGTGAAAAGGGCATTTGCGTTGGGAATAGCATATTAAATTTAAACGAGGAAAAACACAATATTACCAAAATCTAGTGAATATGTAGAATATTACAAAATTTAAAAAATGTTGCCACTTAAATTCTCTATTGTTTGTTTTTAGAATATTTGTCAAAAATTAAATGAAAAAGAAATTTGCGTTGGGAATAGCATATTAAATTCAGACCAGGAAAAACAAAATATTACCAAAATCTAGCGATTATGTAAAATAATACAAGATACAAAAAATAAAGTTTTTTTTCTTCTTCATACCTTGATAAGCTTTCGTGCCCCCATGCTCACTAGTGAATGATCAAACATCGAAAGTGTTTTGATTTTTTTTTTCTTGCTTAAATACGAATTTGTGTCATCTTTAGTATTTTACTTCAGTGAGAATTGAAAAAATTAAGGGCGGTCCTTATGAACACCCCGAATAGTTTCTTTTAAGCTACAAAATAACATATATAAACTGAATAAATTAGTGTTATAAAGAAGATAGAAATGCTCCTTAAAAGTGCCACAAGGCACTGATCGGAAAATAAATTCTTGATGTGTTCTAGAACACATTAAAGCGTTTTTGATAGCGCCTTTACGCTACAAACAAGAATAACAAAACAAGGAATCAGCTGCAGACTACCGGCATGAACGTCAAAACTACGTCAATAGTCTGAATAAAATTTTACGATTCTCATATAAATAATTCAGTAAAACTCTCGATGTTCATTCACAGCCTACAATTGTTGCCAATGTTTTTGAGGCTGTGATTCTTTGATAGTATAGATAAAAATAATAAAAAAAAAAGGATTTGTAAACAAAATACCTTTTCCAAGAGAGTTTAAAATACACATGTCACACCAAGAACGAAAAATGTGAGCAGCACACATCTGTGTTGGTAAAATTTTTTATTGTGATATTCATCGCAGAAAGTGGTTAGTTAGCAACTCTGTCAAATTAAAAATGAAGAATTATGTTTGTATCCGTTCCATAAAATGATTTAAACTAATGATATATTCTGGCAAAAAGTTCTAGTAAAAACTTGAGCGCTATAGTTGGTCGAAATTTCATTAGACGGTAAAATTTTGTAGCTGTCAGAAAATGTTTGGCACTTGTACTGTGGAACCTGTATAAGTCGACTACTTGAAGTGCATTGTTTTTGCAGCCAACTTAAACAGGTGGTCAACTTTTGCAGGATTATTGTTACGTTACAGAGCAAATTTTTTTCATCTCATTTTATATATCATTTTATATTCTCATTTCTATACATTACCAAACGAAATAATGATGAATGTGATTAAATTTCTTAACATAAAGTGAAGAAAGGGTCAACTTTATGCTTTATGTGAATAAAGCTAAGAAATTGTATTGCTACAAAAACAACTTTTAAGGTTATTATTGCAGAACGCATTCCGGTGAACTATGTGATCAACTTTCGCAGGGCACATTTTTTTCATCTCATTTTTCATATTTTATTTTCTTAGCAATCGAAATAAGGATAAATGTTAATAAATTTCTTAATATAAAGAGAAAAAAGATCAACTTTATGCTATATGCGAATAAAGCTAAACAACTGCAATGCTACATAAACGCAATTGCTACAATCTCAGTTCTATCATCACCACTCATGAGTGTTCCAGCACTTGACGAAAGAGGGAAGCACAAAAACTCAGTAGAAAATTGCAAACAACAACTAAAGAGACCTCATTAGTCTACCCTTTTTTTTCTTGATGTAACTTGTTTGTAATTTTCTTCTGTATCTCTGCGTCTCCCTCTTTGATTCTGTGTTTAGAACTGTTGAAGGTTCTTCATAATAGATCATAAATTGCAGTATGTCCATAAACCTCTGTTTGTGATTTCCACATTGTTTAGTTCTACGCTTAGTGTGTTTATATAATCAAAATTCACATCTATATTTTCAATATACAAATCACAATTTAAAAGGAAATCGATTTTAAATATTCACACAGTGATATTATTATTTGATTAATGCGAAACGTCTCCTATTTCAGTGACAAAAGCACCTCGAGTTTGTTTAAAAAAAATTTTTAATAATTTTCATGTCAAATCAAAAAATAATAATTCTCGTTCGTATCAGAATCTAAGGAATGTATATGAATAATTCATAAACGAAGATCGAATTGTTAAGCGCGAAGTGTTCGCACTGAAATTACGACGTCTTTTTTTATTATATGACGTCCAAAAAAGTGTCTGGGATAAATACGTAAAGCTAATGCTTTTCAACGACCTTGTAGATGGGAAGGTCATATTCGTATAGCTAGAGTGGGAAATCAGCTCTAAAATGTTTATTTATGTTTAATTATTTGTCCGCAAACAATGTGACTTTATTTTCCGACCAAAATTGGTTCAATTTTGCACACTGAATTTTTATTGAATGAACTCATAAACTTTGTGTGTAGTTATAAATATATATATATATTTTTTGTATATTTAAGTGATGATTTCAACATATTTTTTTAATCTTAAAAGGAGTTTTATAGAAGTAAATAATTTTTGTATTAATAAGCAAGCGTCTTGCATTAAATATATTTTCAGATTATTCAATTATATATATAGTATGATTATTATATGTTTTGAAAAACTAATTTAGAGGGAAATTTTAGTAATTAAAAGCTGTTATTTAATGTTATAAATATTCTTAAGTTAATTTCAACAAATTTAAATTCTTTAAATCATAATCGTTATGCTTGTATGAAATTAATGTTGATTTGTGCAGAACTAATTTAGAGTGAAAATTAGTAATTAAAAGCTATTGTTTAATTTTACAAATATTGTTAAGCTAGCTTCAACGAATTTGAATTCTTTAAATCATAATCGTTATGCTTAAATGAAATTAATGTTGATTTGTGATAACTATTTTTAAAAAGTATTGAATTAAATCCATAATATGATAAGCCTGGACTTTGGAACTTCCGCTAACTAGGAGTCTCTTAAAATTGAAAATGTTTGATATAGATTATTTTTTGTTCCTTAAATCTTCTTTTAACTGTAACTGCCACCTTTGTTATCATTAAATTCTGAGTTCAATAAACTTTAAACAGATAAAAGTCTAAAATCAAAAACAATACGATTGTAATTTTAATTAATTTTGTCTTTTTTTTCCTAGAAATAATTTCAGATTTAATAAAAACTAAGTCTTTTAAGAACAATATTCTGTGCAGACTTGCATTAACATAAAATTTGAGACGCAATTGTGAAATAGGGTAATTTTTCGCAAATTATGGGAAATAAAATTTACATTTTTTAAAAAAAATATTAAACTGAAAAAGGACAATTTAATCAATTTATAAACTTACATAATTTATTTTTAAGTTATAAACTAATACGCCTATGAGGAGCTTCCGTATTAAAAAATAAAAGGCTCGGCATTATCTAATTCCTATGACTAAAATGCATCGATTAGTGAACCCCAATTGATTTTTCTATAAGTCTCTTTGAAGCAATTAGTCTATTGGGGCATTTTACAAAATTCTCTAATTGTGTATAGCAATTATATAATATGTTTGTGCATTTGTATACTTCTTTAAACCTTGTGCCAATAAACTTAACATTTAATTCGTTTCTATTAGTGCATTTGAAATAGCAATCTAGCAAATTGAAATAGTAATTGTCTAGCAATTCATTAGATTGTTCCTTTATCTTGCTATTGTAAATATCTAGCAATTCAGTTAGATTGTCAGTTAGTGCAAATCCATTCAATGGACTAATAGTGTTTCGATTTTAGATTTCTAACTAGAGTGTCTATAAAATTCTTAAAATTAGAAGATCAATCAAATGAAAAAGAGTTTTAAAATTATTTTTTTGTTCTTTTTTTAGGTTGGTTATATGGTGTCCTCGATAATGGAGATTCCGGTATTTTCCCTTGTGAATATGTTGCGCCTTTGGGAAAGCAGGAAGCAAAACGTGGACAGAGAAGAGAGGTACCGTAATCTCCCTTATTTCTTTTTGTTCTTTTTAAAAAAATAATACTGCTGAAAAGAATATAAGTATTTCCTACATCTAAAGACAGTTATTTCGTGTAAATTTTAAAAAGGTGATACTTTGCTATATTGCACTGTGGGCCAGAAGACCATGATCTTTGGCCAAAAGTCGAAAATTAAATTTTCAACTTAAATATTTGTTGGCAGTTTTAATATAGCCTAAATTAAGTATTCATAATCATTCCAAACATTATAATTTACTTTTTGGACTGACGAGAGTACAATGTAATGAAAAATATACTTAAATTTTTTTTAAATGTAACTTTTAAATTTTTATTTCAGAAATATATATAGGAATTTTGCGTGACTGTTACATTTTTATCAGAGTAATTAGTCAGAAATTATAGTACAATTTTTCAATTTGTTGGATTTGCTAATACTCTTGACAAAGTTATAGTTTATATCTAATCATTTGACATTTTACAATGTTTGAATGACTTTCGAAACTTTGTTCTAAAAAGTTCCACGAGGTAATTAGTTAAACTTTTTTTTTGTTGTCTTCTTTGATGTTTCTTCTTTCGAAAAAACCTGCCCAATTTTGCTTGTATTGCGAAGGTGGACTAAATATACCGAAAAACAAAAATTATGTTTTTTCTTCATGTTTTCGCGTTATTTTGTAATCAATTCGCATTATTTTGTTATATTACTTCGGAAATATAATTTGCTTTACCTTTTTAATATAAAATTACGAAAATTATTATATTTTCTATGCCATATTTAATTATTTAAACTTACTATATTATTTTTTTTATTTTCGCTCGCCATATTTCAGCCGCCATTTTGTTTTTTGGGGGTATTTTTAGTGTGTGTCAAAATTTTAACTATGAATTCAATTTACCTGCACATAAAAACCCCTAAATAAAAAACCCCAAATTTTGAAACAAATTTTATCGAAATTCTAATTTTGGCTACGAAACCTTGTATGCTGGCCCACTGTGTAATGCAGCTATGAAAGGTTCAACTCTCAATAAACATCAATATGAAATAAATACTGTAACTATTAATTTTATATTAGTACCATTTACTATTTAATAAATGTAATTCATATAGAAGGGTTAGAAAAGTACCAGACTTGTGTTTCGCAATTTTCTGTAGACAAAATACTATTGGTGTTTACTTACTAAATAATTTTGTACCAACAAAAAATGTTTAAGAACCCTATCGAGGATATCTCGTCTGTTGTTAATTGAGGGTTTACTATATAGTACCTAACATTTTACAGAATACTAATTTTCACAAAACATTCGAAGATTTTTCATTCCAGTTGCAAATGAGCTTTAAAAAGGTTTATGGATGAAGAGCCGTGTGGATAAAGATTATAAGTGATATTTTAATGACTGAGAGTTGATTGGCTTTAATTTAATACGTTGGCAATAGGGCTTAGATTATGCCTTGCCTTTCATTTCTTGTCCACAAGCCTCATTGGCAAGATCTTTTAATCTCTAACATTGAGCCGTGATGGCTCAAAGGATAGAGCGTTCTCCTTCCTATGAGGTAATCGGGTTCGAATCCCAGTGATAGCTGCTCTATACAAATTCCGAAACTGGCTTACACCAACCACAGTGCTGATGTAAAACTTCCTCAGTGGTAAACGGATTATAGAGCCCCTTTGCTGTCAGGCTTACCATGGGAGGTTTTCGTGATTTTTATATCTATGTAACGCAAATGCGGGTTAGTTCCATCAAAAAATCTTCCACAAATATCGGTTTGTTCCAATGCTTGATCCAGGAGTTCCCTTGTCTTCTTTGTTTTGCGTTCAAAATGACATGGCTACAAAGTTGAACATTGATAGCCATAAACTGAGAATCGAGTCGGCTGTTCAATGCCAGAAATATAAAATAAAATAAACTCCTAACACTCATTTAAACTGTTCGCGTCATAACATTTACTCTCTTAGTGTTTTAATTTGCTACCAAAAGACATGTTTTTTTTTTCAGTGACTCGCCGATGTTTGACACCATGTTAAAAATAAAATTAGATCGCCCTTTAATTTTTTTTTCTTTAAAACTGTCACTTCAGTACCTTCTTCCACTAAGTTCTTCAAACGTATCTAACTAAGAATAAGTTACTCATTGTCTATCATTTTCCAAACGTATTTGGAAAATTCTTCCACTCTTGGCTTTTCAAGATTGTAAAAGCCTTCTTCCTCTGTAATCTAAGAAGCTTAAGGACTTTGCAAAGAACTAAATAGTACTTTACAGTTAATTAAAACTAAAATAAGAAATCTTTCTTCAAGATAATTTATTTTTCAAAACTGACATTTAGTACCTTCTTCCACTATGTTCTTCAAACACAACGGCAAGTAAACAGAATTAAGCATAAACAGTTAATTAAAACTAAAATAAGAAATCTTTCTTCAAGAGAATTTGTTTTCAAAACTGACATTTAGTACCTTCTTCCACTATGTTCTTCAAACACAACGGCAAGTAAACAGAATTAAGCATAAACAGCTAATTAAAACTAAAATAAGAAATGTTTCTTCAAGAGAATTTGTTTTTCAAAACTGACATTTATTAGTACCTTCTCCCACTATGTTCTTCAAACACAACGGCAAGTAAACAGAATTAAGCATAAACAGTTAAATTAAAACTAAAATAAGAAGTCTTTCTTCAAGAGAATTTGTTTTTCAGAACTGACATTTATTAGTACCTTCTCCCACTATGTTCTTCAAACACAACGGCAAGTAAACAGAATTAAGCATAAACAGTTAAATTAAAACTAAAATAAGAAGTCTTTCTTCAAGAGAATTTGTTTTTCAGAACTGACATTTATTAGTACCTTCTCCCACTATGTTCTTCAAACACAACGGCAAGTAAACAGAATTAAGCATAAACAGTTAAATTAAAACTAAAATAAGAAGTCTTTCTTCAAGAGAATTTGTTTTTCAGAACTGACATTTATTAGTACCTTCTCCCACTATGTTCTTCAAACACAACGGCAAGTAAACAGAATTAAGCATAAACAGTTAAATTAAAACTAAAATAAGAAGTCTTTCTTCAAGAGAATTTGTTTTTCAGAACTGACATTTATTAGTACCTTCTCCCACTATGTTCTTCAAACACAACGGCAAGTAAACAGACTCAAGCATAAACAGCAAAAATAAGTAAATTAAGTCAATAATCTGTTATATTATTTAAAAGCTAATTGCATCTCGTAAATGGAACCCTTCAAATGAAGCGAAGCATAGTTATGAGAATCACCTGGTCAAACACGGTTTAAGAAATTTGAATGTTTTTTTATGTAAGCATTATTTTTTGTGAATAACACCTGATGTTTGACGTCGAATGATATTTTTTGTACAAATATTGCGTCAAAAAATCATTGTTTATTATTATGTAATATAAGAAATCGTTACCAAATGTCTTTAAATGTTAGTTGTATCATTTGTTTCATTGTGTTTTTTTTGAAATCGTTATTCTTTAAAATAGTAATTATTCGATTACTTTTTTTTTAGTTAGCAATTTGCTGCAATCGTAACATTTCATAATAGCATAGTTCTCTTTAAAGCGTAATGAACAAACTGATTGACATTATTTAACAACAATGAAAGCAATTCTTTATTTTTTTATTAATATTTTTTTCGAAAAGAAAGATGTTATGAAAATTAAATGGAGAGAGTCTCTAAAATAAATGAACATTTCCCATTTTTTTTAAAATTTGCTGATAGTTAATTTAAATTGTGTTTTTGAAAACACCATTCTGTAATAGCCTAGTAATGAAGTATAGTATACAAATTAATGAATAAAAATATAATTTTTTATTCTAAAAAACCTGTTATTGGAAATATTTAATGCTAGATGCTTACAAGTATTTGTAAGAAATTTGTTAAAAACAATTTTTAGTTTTACCAATCTTGCTAACTATTAACCAATCTTGCTAACTATTATTCAAAAAGTGGCTCTATATGTCCTTTTTTCTTAGGAAGAAGTTTAGAATTGAAAATTAAAAAGCTATTTCAAAAAACAGCTTTTATAGAATCGTTTTCCTAAGCATGTGTGTTCCATTTCTCTGTGATTCTTTTTACTTTCTTTTGAATAAAATAAAGCGTTTGGACACATTTTTTGAGTTACAAATAGTTCAGCAAAATATTATAAAATGTTAAAGTTTTACAAAGTTTCATAAAAGTGATAAAGTAAAGCAAAGTAAACAAATATTTAAAAATTTATAGCTGAAGAACTACTGTATAGAACCCGAGTAAAGTTGGTAGCTAAAAATGTTAGACAACACTTAATATACAGTGAACATTTTATGAGAAATTAAACTAATTTCATTGAATAATGTAAATTTAGAAAAAATTAGAAAGAATCTTTAATTCTAAACGAAAAATTAAGCTTTAAGGCAAAAAACATTGTTTCAAGAAATGATTTTAATTCTTCTGAATACTAAATTAGTTAAGAATTAAGTTTGAATTTTTAAAGTAAATTGTAAACCTTGTAAAAAAAAAAATTTTTTTTCAAAATTTCTGTGCATCTGTTTAAAATGCTTTTGACTTATAGTCTTATAATAGCTCTTGTTCAAACTGAATCAAAGTAACATTTAAATATTAGGGGGACTGAAAAGTAATGTCGTTTCGGCGCATTATTATTTGTTAGTGTTAAGAACCAATTCATTTTCTTTCTCGATTCATTTTCGAACCTGCATTGAAAGGTTGTTGATAACGAGGGTGAATACATTATTGTTTAAAAATAAAGTCTTGATAACGAATATCAAAACGGTATTACTTTCCAGTCCCCCTATTAGTACGATTATTTAATTCAGCTTAGCACTGTATTAAAGTTGCAGTATATTTGAACGATAGCCTAAGTTCCTCACTTTCGAATTTCTAACAGTGCACATTTCTAAACTAATCAAACGAACCCAAAAATAACCAGCAAAACTAGATAGTGTTTTATTTTTCTTTCAGATGGAGACCTTGGTACAATCGAAAAACCACTTACCAAAGCACAGGCGAGGCCCACACATGGATGATATTTCCTCATATCCTGACAGTCATATGAACGGCACTTTGGATGGGAGGAGGGAAAATGATAATCCAGCATGGGTAGAATCTAAAGCGGTATGTATATCTATTTATGCGCATGCATCAATTTTTATTCGATTATTTTGGTAAAGTGCACAATTCATTATGACCACTTTTTAGATTTTTTAGAAATGAGCTATTGGCTCACTGTGTAAGCGCCAATAATAATAATAATAATAATGTAGAATAAAAAAATAAAAAAATTCGAGGCTTGCTTTAGAACGTTTAATGTGCTCGGTACTCTGAACACAATACATCTAAACACCGTTGCTGACCAAGTACAGTGCGCAAAAAATAAGCGAACCCCCCTGAATAACTTTTGATCTAACAATCGGATTTTCACGCTCTAGGACTCAATCCTATTGGTTCGAGGGGGTGATCCCAAGTATGCTAATTAATTAGTGCAGACGATATTTTAAGTTACGAAATCGGACACAAAAGCGTACTTTCGCTGAATTTTGCCATTTAAAACTGCATTTTTTAAAATGATGTAAGAATTCGTGTATCTTACAATAGAAATTTTTTCCGACCATTATTAAATGCAATAAATAAGAAACAATAAACATTTATTAAAAGTTATATTTCGCCCGGAATTATCTTTGGATAAACAAATTGTATACAAGAGTATGCGAAAAAATCCTCAATTCGTTTAAAAGTTCCCGAGATATGGTGAAATACGCAAAAAGTAAAATTAACAATACGGGGTCCAAACTTTGGACCGCTGTCCTGACCAAACTATTGGGACTATGTTTTCTAGAGTGCGGCTACTCCCTTTATTTTGAGGGTCAAAAATCCAAAACCGTTGGGAAAAAAGGTATGTTTATTCCGAGAAAATACTTTTCTGTGTCTGATTTCGTAACTTGAAACACCGTCTGCACTAATTATCATATTTGAGGTAATCCCTTTAAACCATTAAAAATGAGTTCTAGAATGTGAAGAATCAATCATTATATTAAAAGTTATGTAGGGTGATCCGTTTATTTTTTTGGTGCATGTACTCTCCTCGCTGTCCTCGTTTTGTTGCGTTGGCCCCCGCAATCCCCAGATCTCAATCCTATTGAGTATTTCTGGTACAAAATTGCGTATTAGCATCTAGATTCACTACTACCCAGTCTCAAATCATTGAGAATTTTTATTCTTGGAAATTATTGCGTATTTTTGAAAATCACTAGAAACTACGATCTAATTGATTGGCCACTGAGTGACTTTCTTAGCACACTCAATATTCGATTCTTCATTAAATTGTCGATAATTTCATAACACTGTCAATAGTTTCGTATTATTTTCAGTTTAATCTACAAAAATGTATGTTTTTTTTTTTAAATACATAAATTTCTGATGACTTGTATTCCAGTTTTAAAATAATTAAAATATTTCAACTATGAAAAAAATGTCTGTTTTCATTAATTTTTAATTAGTTTAGAAAAGAATCCAATACTAGAAAGGTCCTTAAATAAATTATTAGAATTTTTCATAATATGGAATGATCCAAAAAATCTAGGTCCGGCCTTTCTTGCTTTGTTTTTATAGCCTATAATTAATTGTAAAAATGGAAAATATGGTACTTCTCTAACTTTTAAATCAAATCACACTCTTGATACTAATTAAGTAAAATTCCAAATCATTTATTCATTTTGGTACAAACATTTTAAGATTAGTATTAGATATCTGTGTACCAACTGTCCTGGTTCTCGATTTACTGTTTTTGAATAATGGAGAAGAGCTGACATGTTGGAGAGTTTTTCTGATGTTTTCAAAGGTCGGTTTGTATTTTATCCAAGCCGATATTTTTTCATTTATATTCTTGTCACTTTCTTCCAACTCCATATCTAGCGCAAATAGTTTGGCGTCACTCCTAACCTTTGAAAATATAAATTTGCTTTATTGAAACTTACATTCATTATTACATTCAGTGTTAGTATAAAGGTTGCCTAAATGAAAAGTGAACCAGCATGACAGCATCATGAATGCAATGATTATATCAGAGTCTTCAATTCTTAAATTAGAGAAAGATGAGCGCACCTCAAATTGATTACTCAGTTCTCAAGAGAGCATTTTTGGTGAATGCAAAGTCAAGCTGAGATCGATGCTTTCAGGAGAAAATAACGCGCCGTTGTTCGATTTTTAGAGATGGAAGGTAAATGTAAAGAGAAAATTTCATGTGCTATTTGTGGCGTATAATGTCTATGACAAATTGCCTTAAACAAACAGATGGTGTAAAAGTTACTCTAAAGAGCACATCAACATTAGATCTGCCAAGACACTCGGGACAAACTATCACCATGATCTCTAATGAATTCATTGCTGCTGTTGATAAAATGATAACTGGAGAACAATGAGTTACTACTCGTGTAATCTATGCAGAACCTCAAGTGAATGAACGGTGAAGATGAATTTCACGGCAGACTACCGTTCACTTATCATTTGGGAAACTTTTATAACAACACAGGGTCACTGTCATTAAACAAAAGTCTGCGGAAGATCTCAGCAAATTTTTATTCTAAGACATCGACGTTAGAAATGAGACGGACTCAGCTAGAAGTCCAGACGATCTGGGCAATTTGAAGTTGTTTTCGGGCTTTGTTTGCAGCATTGAAGTAGATTTTCACTTTTGTTATTTTATGCAAGTGTGTAGAGATTAATTAGTTACACAAAGAGAAGTTTGCGATTTGCTTATTTTTTTCTGAGAAAGGGAGAAGTATATTGAAAATTCTTAAATAAGACCCTGATTTCTTTTTGATTTTTAAATTCCTAATAAAATGTGAAATTATTTGGAGTTTTGGGGAAAATTTACATTTTGAAGAAAAAAAATCTTGATGGGGGAATTGTTAGAGATTTGCTTATTTTTGCTGACAAAGAAAAAGATGCATCAAAAATATACAAAGTAGTAAATTTTTTGACACGGAGATAGCCATTCAATGATAAACTTATTACCAGATTTGAATTTGATTTACAAACATCATTTTTGGTACATAATTTTTTTTCCATAAGATTTTGCGCTGTGGTATATTAATTTGATTTCTAATAGACATCAGTACAACTTTTCATTGTCGCAGCGAGACAGTTTTGTACAACGTAACAGTTGAAACCTGTCAGTGAGACATTTTATTTAAGATATTTCGCTGCCTGGTTGCATGGTGGTGAGAGGTGTCGCCAACTATAACTTATAGTTGCATGGTGGTGAGTGGTGTCGCCAACTATAACTTATAGTTGCATGGTGGTGAGTAGTGTCGCCAACTATAACTTATCGTTGAATGGTGGTGAGAGGAGTAGCCAACTATAACTTATCGTTGAATGGTGGTGAGAGGTGTCGCCAACTATAACTTATCGTTGAATGGTGGTGAGAAGTGTCGCCAACTATAACTTATCGTTGAATGGTGGTGAGAGGTGTCGCCAACTATAACTCAGGCTGTAGATAAGATTCTCCGAGCTAACTGATGAGTGACGGATCAGCTTGCATTTTCTCCGCTAGTGATTCGGCATCCACTCAACAGCAATGTTGCCGGAAATTTCATATGTGGAAAATTCGCAGCCCAATTAGGAGGTTAGGGAGTGTGATGCGGAGAACAGGTGATTACAACCACCAAGTACTTTCCGATGGAAATTTTTTTAACGCATTGAACGTATGTGTATTTTCTTCAGATCGTTTTTAAGAATCTTTTGCCAAACACTGAAAAAAATTAGCGCAGCTGTAATGCGACGGTATTAAGAACCAAAATCAAATTATAAATTATTTAAGGAACCTGAATAAAGAGTTTTTGTTATTGTATACAGGCGTAATGTATCGGCTTTCGCCTCGCAAGAGATGATCCAGGTTCGAATTCCAACGATGGCTTGTTAATACTAATTCTTCACCCGGCTCGCTCCCACCACAAATCTGAGGTAAAATATCCTCAGTGGTAGACGGATCATGGGTTAAAATCCTCTTGATTTCAGGTTAAGCATTGGTGGTTTCCATTTAACGGAAATGTTGGTTAGTTTCTTCAGAAAGTCTTCCACGAGGGCTAGTTTTAATGCTTGATCTAGGAGTTCCCTTGTCTTCTGGGTAGGCTTCAAAATTACATGGCTACAGAGTTACAAAAGCATTCATTGTCGTAAACTCGGAATTAGGTCGGCTGTTTAACACCAGTTATAAAATAAAATATTCTTTAAGTAGTATTTAATACTGTTTTGAGGTTTCCGTTTATAATTTTTTAAAAGAAGTTAAAAAGAGTTACAGGTATTTTCATACGTTACTGAAAGCAGTTGTATACAATTATTTTGTGAGAGGCACTCTAAAATATTTTGGTCCCACTATGTTTCTGGAATTCTGAAATCCCATTCTGAAGCTTTGAGAAAAACGTACCACGTAACGTTTTAAATTTGCCCAGAGGTCCTCGCTTCAGATATATGCGAAGTATAAACATAGAATATTAGTTGTTTCTACTTTTCTTTGCACAAAGGGCTTTTACTGAGAACCCCCAGTATTATGTTAAAAGCTTTCAGCTGTTGCTACATTCCCTGAAGCAAAATTCCTAAATTGAGTAACAATGTCACTTAGCACCTTCTATTAAGTTTTTAAATTTTCTTTATTTTATTCAGGTCTAAACAGTATTGTTTCTGACATCTTGATGCATACTTTTTATTAAGGAACTGTATCAACGATCGATGGTACAACGAATCAAATAGATCAGTATCTCTGTATACGATCTTACCTCTTTTTGATGATCTGATATCAACTGGTCTATGGTTGCAGTCGGTGTTTTACTTTCTTTTATTGCACACGGCATACCAGGAAGTACTTCTGTGACGCAATTGCTCATAAAACTGTGCTCCAAAGCTTCTGCAGCACTGATCCGAAGTGTGGGTTGCATTTGCAAAAATAAACCCATGAAGGTGATTAGCTCCGAAATTTTGATTTCAGAAACTTTGCAGTTGGGATAAGTTGCGCTTAGAAAGGATGTCACATATTTTTTGCTTGCAAAGCATTCCATATAGTCTTTCACAGCTTCGATACTACCTGCTTTGGAATTCCGTACTGTTAAATTATAATATCC